GTTTTCAAGACTGTGACCTTTCAGAAGCAGATCACCAGGCCTTTCTTCTGAGATGCCTCTGAGTGGGTTCGAACCCCCAACTTTTCCATTAGTAGCCAAGCACTTCACCATTTGTACCACTTACGGACGCTAAGAATTCACAAGCCCTCCCAAACTCGAGGAGAGGGGACATACCTTTATGGAGGATGCTAAGGTTACATTGTGGAGGAGCATACATGCAATCAGAGATAATATGGTGTCCAATTTTGGAAAATACAATTGCTTACATATATTATCTTAGAATTACTGAATTTCAGTGTTTGAAAAGACTTTAAATCTTATACAAAAGGGGCTAGCAAACTATGACTCATCACCTGTTTTTGTTTTATTTATTTGTTTTATTGAAACACAGCCTCACTGATTCTTGGCAGAACTGAGTAGTTGCAAGATAAACTATTCGGCTTGCAAAGCCTAAAATATTTATGATCTCGCTTTTTATAGACAAAGTTCCTTGACCCTGTGTATAGAACATTGGTTAAGCATGTGGCTCTTGAGTCAAACTAAGCAATTGCCATCGAGTCAACTCCAACTCATAGTGAACCCGACTAATGGCCACCCCACGTGTGTCAGAGTAGATCTGTGCTCCTTAGGGTTTTCAGTGGCTGATTTTTTCAAAGTAGATCACCAGGTCTTTCTTCCAAGACACCTCTGGGTAGACTCAAACCTACAACATCTCAGTTAGCAGCCAAGTGTATTAACCATTTGTACCACCTGTATAGAGTTGCTTTGAGTCGGAATGGACTTGATGACAAGGTGTTTGTTTTTGTTTTTAGGGACTCCTAGTAGCATTCAAGGAGCCCTGGTGGCCCAGTGATTAAGAGCTTGGCTGCTAACCAAAAGGTCAGCAGTTCGAATCCACCGGCCTCTCCTTGGAAACCCTATGGAGCAGTTCTACTCTGTCCTATAGGGTTGCTATGAGTTGGAATCGACTCCGCGGCAATGGGTTTGGTTTTTGGGTTTTTTTTTTTTTTAGTAGCATTCAAATCTCTGTTCTGGGAGTGGGCAGTTATGTGACTTTCAACAAGTTACTTACTCTTTCTAGACTGTCATTTTCCCACCTATATAATTGGGGAAATAGTAATATCTCTCATTGGTTTATGAGCATTAAAAGAAAAATGAAATTTTCATTTCATTAAATGAAAAAATCCATGGAAAGTGTATAGTAAGTATTCATAAATGCTAGCACTTGTTATTAGAATTATGTTAAAATATCAGTGAAGGCAGTTCTTCATCCAAAGCTGCATGTTTATCTCAAAAGTGTCATCTGCTACAGATTTCAACACGTGTAGTGATAGGAAGCCCACATCATCTTTAACCATTCTGTCTGTTAGAAAGTTTCCTTTCCACTGACTTGATATCTGTCTCCTTATAGCCCTATCCTATTAATCCTAGGTCTTTCTCCTTGAAGTTCTACAAAACATCTTTCCCAAATATTAGACTCTTCAAATATTTGAAAAGGGTTTCCTTTTAATTTAATCTTACCAAGACTGCACACCTCCAGTTTTTTCAACTGGCTTTCCTATTATACCATTTGCATCCCTTTATCATCTTAGTAATTCCTTTTAGAAGAGAATATAAATCATTTACCCAGAAACTAGCTTAAGGCAGTAGTCCTGCAGACAGGTCAGTGCTCTTATTCACCAAATTCTCCATACCATGCTTGTGATGTGTGTTTTGTGTTACTGTAAAAACAGTGTGGGGGTGGTGTCTGACTTCCTCCAACTTCTGAAGGGTCAAGGAGAATCAACACCAACAGCCCAAGGCTGATTCCCATGTGTTGGCAGTCAGACACGCCTCCTCTCTCCACCATCTTTACCAATTCTGACACCAACAGTCCCTCCCACGGCACTCTCTACTTCTCTGCTGAGTTGGATAATTCATTGCAATGGCCACACAGAACTCACAGACAATACTGAAAATTATGGGATTTATTAAGGAAGTAACAGGTTATAATTCAGGCTCAGGGACAGTCAAAGATACAGTTCTTCCACCAGGACAGCCTCTTCCCAGCTGTGCTCACATGCACACCTCTCCCTGGCCCTCAGCCTCTGCCCAAAGGCACTCAGCTTTCTGTCTTCATAGGCCAGGAAGCACACCACGCCATCTCCTGCTGCCAGGGCTCTGCTGCCGGGTCTCTCCTGCCACCACTTCTCACTGTCTCCAGGGTTACAGCTTGCTGTCTCTCTCTCTCTCTTTCTCTCTCTCTCTCCGTCTCCTGCTTCCAGGAGCTTCTCAGAGCAGGGATCCTGGGTCCAAAGGATGCACACTCTGCTCCTGACTCTTCTTCCTTGGTGGTGGTAGGATCCTTCTTCTCTGCTCTGGGATTGGCTCTCTTTTAAGGCAAAACTGACCAGTACCCTTGATGGGCCACAATTATCCTATCTGCACAGTCCCTCCCAATCACCTGAGTGAGAGTTACTAGACCATGGCTAGAAAGGCTACACAAAAGCAGTTACTCAGTCTTTTTCTGCCCCATCCTGCTATGAAAGAGTTGCTTTATGTTGTTTTCGCTTCTGGAACATTTTTACCATTTTTATGCTTAATCTTATACAACTCCAGCCACTGTAGATCTATTCAGATGTTGATACCGTAGTTTCTAGTATGTTCACTGCTTCTACAAGTTTTATATCATCCATATATATTTTTTGTGTCTTGATCCAGATCATTAATAAACATCTCATCAAGTTAAAATTGATACCATGGGTGATCCTGAACTCATTTACAGCAACTGAGGATTTGTTAATCATTGCATTACCTTCCCTTGGACTTCCATATACCCCCATCACTATTTGTTCAACCAGTCTCACTTGGAGCTTCATTCCTATTGGTAAAAGAAAATGGAAGGGCCCTCAAAACTATTGCCCTGACTCTGGGGACCATGGTCTCGGGGAACATCTAGCTCAATTGGCATGACACTACTTATAAAGATAATGCTCTACATTCTACCTTGGTGAGTAGTGT